TATTCAATAATTTCAAATTGAATATGTGCATATTCATATTGAGATTCGAATAAATTTCGAATACTATGTTCGAATTTGAATTCAAATTAGAGGACCAAGTTGGTCAATATTAAGGTTTCTCGCAGTCTCTGCTCCACGTGGGCGTCGATTCCGTACTTTGTGCTCGTTGTTAATAAACAACTAGTACTATTTCACCCATGTACATGCACATGTGAAGGTAACTTAATTATATTATAAAAATTACATAAAGTTTAGATTCAACGATGTGAATAAAAATTAAAATAAAGTATTATTTATTATGAAAAATTAGTTAGTACTCCACATTATATATATGTTGACCGGTCAGTTCCATATAAAATTAAATATCTATATCTTTGTGATTGATTATTTTTAATTATTAGTATTGCTATGATCGAAAGATAACAATATTTTTTTTAAAAAAAAAAATATTTGTTATTTTTTGTTAAAAAGATGATAAAAATGTGATGGCAATATAAATATTTGTTAACATTTTTAAAAAAATATTAGTTTCTAATATTCAATTATAGAACAAATCAATGCATCGGTCCAAACCAAACATCATTGGAAAGAAATGATACGATATATTGCATTAACAAATAAAAACATTATGTATTTCAAAAAAAAAAAACTAATGGTATGAAGTTACTAAAATTTTAACTAAAAAAGTAAGACTAACATACCTATTTTTTATACAAAAAATAATAGTAAATAAATAAAAATATTTTATATACTTAAAAGTTGTAGTTAAAATAAATTTGCAACTTATGTATGTTTTATATTTCTCATTAACCAGCTCCAATTGATATATTGCAATGGAATTTCAATGACAATTCTAAAGAATATTCAATGCTATTGCTATCGTTTGAATTTTCTAATGAAAATTTTAACAAATAATTCGTTGGAATTATGAGCAAATCCATGTTTATTTAATAGGTCCGACACTAACACTCATCCCAAAACATATAGAATAAGGTATTCAACTAAAGTTGTGGCTTGTAGGAACATTTTTCATAATTTTAATCATGTCCCTTATTTAAAAAAGAAAATTATAAGAAATTTATATTATTGTTTTTTTTTTTCTAAAATTAATGGCCCTTGGCATTCGTTTAAGCGCTAGATGACACTTATACACTATGATTTGTTTAAGCGGCTATGCTATGCACTTGAAATAACCCTAACCCTAAACCATAAACCCTAAACCTTGAACCTAGGATAAAAAATCAAGAAAATCAATTATAACACTAAAAATTGTATAAAAATTCATGACATTTATTTTTCATTTTATTTTAATGATTTTTTATGATTCAATATGTCATATATAAGTACATATTTATATCCTTATATATTTTATTTAATTTTTGTTTCTAAAATGGCTCTAAGTATCCATTTAGACGCTAGACAACAATTACGCACTATGATTTAGTTTAAGCGGTCATGCTATGCACTCGAAACAACCCTAAACCCTAAACCATAATTTTTTTATTATATATTATATTAATAAAAATAAGTAAATAAAATAGTCATGTATCATAATTTAAATTATAGCACTTGGTAATCATAAAAAATATAATATATCTAAATATTCAAATGAATACTAATTAACTCATCATATAGGTTGATAAAATGAGTTAAAAATTTCATATAAACAAAATATATAAATTGTTAAAAAAGTTATAAGACTATGATATCCGACAGTTTTATAAGTACATGTAAATAATTTGTATACAAATATCAAATGATCATATATACATTTATAATATTTTATAATTCAAATATTATTCATCATGGACATTTATATACTTATTTATTCTATTTTATAATTATCAATAATTAAATTTAAGTCTATATTATTATTATCATTATTATTAATAGGTACTTAATTGGCAGTTGACACAGGAGCTTATTTTATCAATAATTATATATTATTAATGATCTTGTAATTTAAGTTACCCACATCTTTTGAACTGTTACGGCCTAAATATCTTTTGAACTGTTACGGCCTAAATATCATGGAGTAGGCAGGGAGTGAGTACATGGCGGGGGAAGGAGCATTTTCCAAAAAGAAATTGAAACGAGCTCCATGTTTTGGTGCGCAAAATATTAGGCAGCAACATTCCTAAAATTTAGGGCAACATCTCATAATTTCACACAAAGTTCGGATGAACTCGAAATCTTTACGTCGAGACTACTCTTCCTTGAATCGGGTCTCTCGGAATCCAGTGTTCATCTCGTCAAATCGAGCAAAACAAGGACTCATCATCAGAAGACCCGCTCTCGGCCGTTTCTGTACCCGCCTCCGGTGACTGACGATTTGTTTTTTTTTTCTTTTGTTCTCCGTAATGGAACATGTAATGAGAATCAGTCATCTGCCCATAAGCAAATTCCTTGACTACATTTTTTCATATAGATTGCATTCATATCTCCACTTGTTTGTAGACTTTAAAACATGTACAATACTGATAACAAAAATTGACACAATTTCAACAAACTATGCAAATTCCTGTATCAAATAGGCAAAGCTGCCAAATTCCCCTCCCAGCACATTATAACACTTTGAGAAATGCTCCACACAAATATCAAACAACTTTAATATTCGATGTGCCGAAAGTATAACAATCTTGTATATTCTAATTCGGATTCCCTGGACACATTTTATGCAATCTTGAACACCATGTCAAATAGACCCTCTCTGCACAAACTATCAATCACGAATACTGAATAAGCAACGATTAGGATGAAGGGAAGTAGAAAAAAACTAATGGACTTGAAATCTGCATAGCCAAATTGGGCTGCTGAGCCGATTCCATACTCGCCACTTGTTTCAGCTTCAAACTTATTGAGCTCTGCTAAGGCGGATATTTTGACAGAGCCAAGAGCAATCATAGCCCCAGCCGCCAATGAAGTCGAAACAAACTTTCTCCACCTCTTTCGTTCTGCGACCCATATAGGCAAAATTAACAAATTTCATTTGAAAATTTTATTGAAGATTGTAAGAATCATGGACTATTTATGGGTTAACGATTCGAAGATCACCTGTATCACTTCTGTTGGCCGGAGCATCCAGTCGGCAAGTGACGGAGAAGAAAACCATTTTATAATTTATTTAAATAAAAAACGATGAAGAAACCATTTAAAAAAGAAGAACAAACATTTTAATTTTAATTGGTATAATGAATCGTAATATTACAAATCATAAAGGATTAGATGATGTGTTGTTTATATATCTAGGACTACTATGTAAATAAGATAAAGATATGGGTTTGAAAATAAATGTAATCATTATTTTATAATTTATTTACAATTTAAATAATAGTAAGGGTAAAATAGGTTTTTAGCTTGTACAAGTGTACAAACCCATGTACAAAGTAAAAATCTTTCTTTTATTTATTGTACATGGTTTGTACATGAAATCAATGATTGAGATTAAATATTGACTCAATCTAATGGTAATAAAGTGGACTACCTGATGTCAGATATGTACAACACTACCTGACCCTAGAATGTCCCAACAAAGAAAGCACTAGAACTAGACAAAGAAAACAAAACAAAAGAAACACAAAAACAAGAAATCACAAAAAATAAGAGAAACACTAAAAATAAATGAATAGGCGCACAAAATAAGTCCTAAATCTTCCCCGGCAACGGCACCAATTTGTTGTTATTGATCGAGCCTAGGTGTTACATAAGTACGAGGCGTAATTAAACGTAGAATGACCCAAGTCACTAACTCCGCAGGGCAAGAGACAATCAACAGACATATGACTATTCAATTCTTAGTCAACTCTACCATTTCTTTTTCACACCCAACTATTATATTGTATTTATATACAATGAATTTTCTTTCATTATTTTTCCCTACATAAGATAGATTCTTTGTTTTTTCGTACCTGGATTTTTTTTTTCTTCCTTTGCTGGTCTCTGCTTGTTTATTCCCTTTTCCTATTTCCCGTCAGCTGCCACCTCTTTCGCTCTCTCTCTCTCTCTCTCTCTCTCGGGGGAATTCGTGATGCCGGGGGATTCATGGGGGAATCGGAAGTATTATCAGTAATTAGGTTTATGTTATTTGGTAGGATTTGTCGAGAAGCAGAGGTGGGATTGGAAAGCTTTTAACATCAACTTCTTCGGGATCTTTTACTGAGGCAAGGTAATGAATCTCAATTTTGTGTTCTATGTATTTGGTGAAGTGAATAGAGAGCTTAATGTTGGTTTGCTGCTGGGATTTTGATTGTGTAGGTTTTTGAACTTCACTTTTTGTTTTTGTTCCTTAGCAGCTTTTCAATTGTGTCAGTGTTGATTGGGATACGATTTGTGGTTCTTTGATTCACTGGAGACTGGTGCAAAATTGGATTTTT